CAAAACAAAACAAAACAAAACAAAACAAAACAAAACAAAACATAAGGGGCGCCTGGGTGGCTCAGTCGGTTAAGCGTCCGACTTTGGCTCAGGCCGTGATCTCGTGTTTCTTGGGTTCAAGCTGCACGTCGGGCTCTGTGCTGACAGCTCGGAGCCCGGAGCCTGCTTCGGATTCTGTGTCTCCCTGTCTCTTTGCCCCTCCCCTGCTCATGCTCTCTCTCTCTCAAAAATAAACATTAAAAAAAACTTTTTTTAAAAACACAAAAAAATAAACATGCTGTTTCTGCTATGAACTTGGTACATTTTAAATTTTGATTTTTAATTACACAAGGAATAGTTAACTCTGGTTTACTTTCTAAAAATTAAAAATTTTCATATAGGGACGCCTGGGTGGCTCAGTCGGTTAAGCATCTGACTCTCGGTCTCGGCTCAAGTCATGATCTTGCGGTTTGTGGTTTCGAACCCCACGCCAAGCTCTGCTACGGGTAGCTCAGAGTCTGCCTGGGATTCTCTCTCTCTTCCTCTCTCTCTCTGCCCCTCCCCTACTCATGTGTGCTCTCTCTCAAGATAAAGAGACTTTTTTTTAATGTTTATTTATTCTTGAGAGATAGAGACAGAGCATGAGCAGGGAGAGAGAGAGACACAGAACCTGAAGCAGGCTCCAGGCTCTGAACTGTCAGCACAGAGCCCAACGCGGGGCTCGAACACACGAACGGTGAGATCATGACCTAAGCCAAAGTCGGACACTTAACCTACTAAGCCACCCAGGTGCCCCAAGATAAATAAACTTAAAAAAAAATTTTTTTAACATTTTATTTATTTTTGAGACAGAGAGAGACAGAGCATGAGCAGGGGAGGGGCAGAGAGAGAGGGAGACACAGAATCCGAAGCAGGCCCCAGGCTCTGAGCTGTCAGCACAGAGCCCGATGCGGGGCTTGAGCTCACAAACCGTGAGATCATGACTTGAGCCGAAGTTAGACGCTTAACCGACTGAGCCACCCAGGTGCCCCTTAAAAATAAAAAATAAAAATTGGGACGCCTGGGTGGTTCAGTTGGTTGAGCGTCCAACTTCAGCTCAGGTCGTGATCTCACAGCTCGTGAATTTGAGCCCCACATCAGGCTCTGAGCTGAGCCTGTTTCCGATTCTGTGTCTCCCTCTCCCTCTGCCCCTCCCCCGGCTCATACTCTATCTCTCTCAAAAATAAACATTAAAAAAATTTTTAAATAAATAAAAATAAATGAAAATAAAAATTTTCATATTAAGCTAGAGACGTTTTTGATCATCTCTGTCCTCACAGTCCTGGTCTGCAACCCCCTCTAGATGAGTAACTACTGTGGAATGTGTGCACATATCATTTCAGACCTTTCCAATACATATTGACATACAGGCCTGTAGGCAGTCGTAGAAAATGTGATATTTAAAAAACATATCAGGGGCACCTGGGTGGCTCAGTCGATTAAGCATCTGACTTCAGCTCAGGTCATGATCTCACGGTTCGTGGGTTCGAGCCCCGCGTCGGGCTCTGGGCTGACCGCTCGGAGCCTGGAGCCCGCGCTTCGGATTCTGTGTCTCCCTCTCTCTCTCTGCCCCTCCCCCAGTTGTGCTCTGTCTCTCAAAAATAAATAAATGTAAAAAAAAATTTTTTTTAATAAAAAATAAAAAACATATCATGTTATACACCTCATGTACACATACAGCAATATGAGTTTGAGTTCTGTATCAGTATCCGTAGATTGATTTTATTGCTTTTAAGCCTTGCACGCTGTTCCACTGTAGAACATGGCATTTTCTTTTTTCATCCCTCTACCGGTGGACATTTAGGTCATCTCGTTTTTTGCAATTTACAGACAAGTTGCCACGACGCCCCGGGCCCCGGGTCCTAGGGCACCTGTGGGCACTTCTTCAGGGCAGACGTGGTGTGGCCACGCCACTGCTGTGCCTTTATGACACAGCAGCAAAGAGTGTCAGGGCAGCTGCCGACTTACCAGAACTTTCAGGTCCATCTGAACGCTTTAGGTTTAGGTATACCTACAACCACACGGTGTCTCCAAATAAAACCAGGAAGGGAGGAAAACTCTAAGCTTTTGCTGCGATTTGCCACAATAGATCCCCCTCCTTTTCTTACGGATGGAGACCGAGTCCCTTCTCCTGTTCCATCCAGGTGAACCCAGCCGACGGCGAAAACTACGTGACCATGGTAGAGCTGACCTTCGTGTTCAGCATGATCTGGTCCGTGTGCGCCTCCGTGGACGAGGAGGGACGTGAGAAGATCGACAGTTACCTCCGAGAGATTGAGGGCTCCTTTCCCAATAAGGCGAGGACGCTCAGACCCAGCTGTCCGATGTTTCCTGTTTTTCTAGCACCCACGAGGTTCCCTATGCCAGGCTCTGCTTGAGTTTCAGCCGTGCCAACCCGGCCCTCTTTCTCTCACCCAGCGGGCTGTGCAAACTCCTGCCCGGCCGGGGACAGCTGGAGAAGGCTTTGGTGGCCTCACACGTGTTCCCTCCTTAGGACACGGTGTACGAGTACTTTGTGGACCCCAAGATGCGAAGCTGGACGTCATTTGAGGAAAAGCTCCCTAAGACTTGGCGTTACCCCCCAAAGTGAGAGCGGGGCCTGTGGGGGGTCGGGCTTGGGGCTGTGGTTGGTGGGAGATGTGGGCAGAGAGCCGGGGCCTCGAGGCAGATGTGAGCTGCAGAGGAGGGGGGCTGGCTCCCAGAGGAGGCGGCTCTGGAACGCCGGAAGCAGGACGCCCGGCCTCCGGGCCCCTCAGGAGGCAGGGCTGGTGACGTCTGAGGGAGATAAACGTCGGGAGGCGGGAGGAAGCGGGAGTTTGAAAGGAGGTGGCCAGGCCCCTTGGACAGGGTTCGCTTTCCTCCCTAGTTCCCCCTTCTACAAGATCATGGTGCCCACGGTCGACACTGTTCGCTACAACTACCTGGTGAGCGCCTTGGTGGCCAACCAGAATCCCACCCTGCTGGTGGGTCCCGTGGGGACCGGAAAGACGTCCATCGCCCAGAGCGTCCTGCAGTCCTTGCCTTCCAGCCAGTGGTCTGTGCTCACCGTCAACATGTCTGCACAGGTGCGTCGTGGGGCCCAGGCCCTCCCTGCCTTCCGTGCCCTCCCTCGGGATCCAAGTGCCTGACGACACTCCTCCCGAACCCCGAGTTTCTCCCGGGAGACCCAAGCATTCACCCCGTACCCCTTCCACCAGACCACGTCCAATAACGTGCAGAGCATCATCGAGAGCAGGGTGGAGAAGCGAACCAAGGGGGTCTATGTGCCGCTTGGGGGCAAAAGCATGGTCACCTTTATGGATGACCTAAACATGCCGGCGAAGGACGCGTTTGGGTCCCAGCCCCCCCTGGAGCTGATCCGTCTCTGGCTTGACTACGGCTTCTGGTACGATCGCACGAAGCAGACCATCAAGTACATCCGAGTAAGCATCCGGGAGATGGGGAGACTCCTGTGATCCTATATCCCTCTCCACACGGGTGGGGCCGGCCGCGTCCAGCCCCAGACTCCCGGCTCCTCAATGATCAGTCCCTGTTGCGAACTCTCCTCGGTGACTCTGCCCTGTGCTTTGTGGCCAAAGGGTCCCGTCCTCCACCTCCACGCCTTCCCCACGCTCACGTGACTCCCCTGCTGCCGTCCAGGGTGTCCCTGACTCGGGTCCCGCCTCCCCACGTCCCCCTACGGGGCACCCCCAGGCAGTCTGCACCCACAAGATTCTGAGCATCTTGTTTCTTTTTTCCAAATCCATGGGCAGCAGCCCTTCCATCCCTCCCCCTTGGGGGGGGGGGGTCCGTCTGTCTGGCACTCAGGGTCAGAAGCTCTCCTGACGGCTAGTGTTTCTGGGAAAGAACACGCATGCACACACACATACACGCTGAAAAAAGAGGGGGAAAAAAAAAACAAAGTCTAGAAAACATAGTCAAACTTTTTAAAAAATCTTTTTTCATGTTTATTTTTGAGACAGAGAGAGACAGAACGTGAGCAGGGGAGGGGCAGAGAGAGAGGGAGACCCAGAATCCGAGCCAGGCTCCGGGCTCTGAGCTGTCAGCACAGAGCCTGACGTGGGGCTCGAACCCACGAACCGTGAGATCGTGACCCGAGCCGAAGTCAGACGCTTAACTGACTAAGCCACTCAGGTGCCCCGTAGTCAAACGTTTTTTAAGTTACTTCCATTTTCTGTTCTTGGTACATGGATTATAATGAAATTAAAACAAATATGTCACTTTAATAATTCCAAACAAACTGTCCCTAATCCCTTCCTTCCCTTCACCTTCCCTGTTCCCTTTCTGCTGTCCTGGCCCCTCTCCTCTCCCCTTACTGCCCTCATCCGGCTCCTCTGACATCCTCCATATTCCTGTGCCCTGTGTTGTCCCTTTCCTGCCGGTCTCTGCTCTCCAGGACATGTTCCTGATGGCTGCCATGGGCCCTCCCGGGGGCGGACGGACCATCATCTCCCCCAGACTGCAAAGCCGCTTCAACGTCATCAACATGACCTTCCCCACAGTGAGGGCGCGATGGGGGCCCGGGGAGGGGGGGGGGCCATAAGAGGCAAGCCATCCGTGTCCCAGGGAACCAGGAGGCAGATCCAGGAGGGGTGGGGGGACCTCCGAGCGGAGGCGTGCACAGGGAGCAGCAACACGGTGGGGGGCTGCTGTTTGTGGGAGCCCTTGCTTCTCCTGAGCCAGAAGAGTGTGGCTGGCCATCTCTGGCCTGTGCAGCCTTGTGGTCCTGGGGGAGGCGGACTCAGGGGCCCCAAAGACGCTAAGGAACGTCAGGGTTCGGGGAGGGGAGTGAGGCCTCCGGGACACCCCAGAAGCCTCAGTCATCAAGATACATAACATTCGAATGCAACATTAAAATAGTCAAAGCCAAAAATTCGTGGTGAACAAACACCACAATGTTAAATAAATCCGAGACCGGTGGTTGCTGAGGGATCTCAGACCCTGAGGCAAAAGGAAACTGCGACAATCCTGACCCCATCTTTATTTAAAACGTGCGTATTTGTTCACCATGGATATTTTGCATTAATTTCAATTTTTCTTTCTTAATTTTTAAATGTTTGTTTACTTTTGAGAGAGAGGGGGAGAGGGGGAGAAGAGAGAGGGAGAGGGAGACTCCCAAGCAGGCTGTGGGCTGACAGCACGGAGCCCGACGCCGGCCTCGATCCCACAAACCAGGAGATCGTGACCTGAGGCGAAACCAAGAGTCAGATGCTTAACCGACTGAGCCACCCGGGGGCC